TGTGGCCTGGTGTTGGGGCGCAGCTGCGGCCGTGACCCGGCGCTGAGGTGGGACTGCGGCCGCGTGAGCTGGGCTTGCTCGTCGAGGTATTCCTGTTTTCCTCGCTTCTCTATGAAGACTTCTGTTAAAGGTGTGGAGAAGACTTTGTTTTTTCCCCCCTTTTAATCGCCAAAAAAAAAAAACAAACTCAACACCAAACCCAAGCCCCTCAAATCCCCACTTTTTTTTCATTTCAAATTTTTTAAAAAATGTATCATGTCTTGTTTTGGTGAGGAAAATCTAGCTTTGGCAAGTCCTTTCTGTGACAGGAAAATGCAACCTGCTCTTTTTAGCGTGAAACAGAAAAGGCTGCTCTTGGCTTGTTACTGCTTGCGTAGTCTCCGTAAGGTACACACGTGAGGTGAAGATAAAAATGACAGCACGGGTGGAAAAAACAGCTTCTGGTGTTGGCTTTCGCTGGCATCACCTCTGCTGGAGGAAGGCGGGCTTTGTGTTTGCTGTATCGACTGTGGCAGAACCTGGCAAAGTTTTGGTTATGTCAGAGTTGAAGTGCAAGCATTTTTTTTCTTTGCCTTTTTGTTGGAAATTTGAAATAATCTGTCTTGCCTGGCCAAAGCAGATGTGTTTCATAGCAAATGCAAGAGGATAAAGAAATGGGGATGGGGAACATCCTCAGAGCAGTACTGCAGAAACCTTGGGTGTGGGCTTTATGCCCAGGATTTGACGAGAGATGATGGGAAAGCGTTTCTGCCCAGCGGTGATCAGAGGGTGCGTTCTTTCCGGATGAAGGCAGGGAAGAGGCTGGAATCCAAAAGCGAATCTCTATGACCCGTGGGTTGGGAAGCAGCAATGGCAGCACTTGTTCCCCCCAGGCCAGTCAGCATGGTGCACAGTCCAATATCTGCAAAGAGTTGCTAACCTCGTCATCCTAAAAGTAAACAGTGCCTTGAAGTGACTTTCAACCGTACACGGGTCCTTGGATTTCACCTCTTTGTCATGCTGCTGATCATTAACGTTGGCAAGAGCCTTGCTTCCTTATCGCTGTTGTTTTATCTCAAATATTTGATGTGCTTTACTGTGTCTTATCTTTTGCCAACTTTTATAAACTTTCTTCTGTAGCAGGATGATCGGGATTTTTTTGTTGTGACTTTGGTATAGTGCTACATGTTCTGTGAAAAAATATTTTATTTAAGTGTATTTGCTGTTAACTGAATGCTCTTTTTTTTGTGGAGAAGGTCAAGTGGCTCCAAGTGTTTACAACAAACAAACAAAAAATCCAATTTGTACACAATTTGGTATCAAATAAGGCGGAAGAGCATTGCAATAGGTTTCATGGGAATCTTGCCAGGATAACATGCTCATTAAACCAAATATAATCAATGCCAGGTTTAAAATTAGGCTATATGCACACTTTTTGCATTTTGGTAGTATATCGTCTCAAGACAGATGCTGATATAAAATGCTTTTGGTTTCCATGCCCCAAAATACAGTTGTAGTTAGCTTGTCACACAGAACACAGTAGTTGCGGTATCTCTATTTTATTTTAAACTTAGATGATGCTGTACACAATTAGTTTTGTTATATTCCTCTTGGGAGCTGTGCATCGTCACAGGTTGTAAGACCTGAGGAGCTTGTCTAATATCCAGCAGACTTCTGAAACACAAAATCACGAGGTGCTGTTGATTTCTGCATAATTGGTTCCATTGGTATATAAGGGGCAGCCTTCCTCAGCACTAATGAAATGCGCTGGACTAAATTAATAGGGTCAGCATGGGAAGTAGGCACCCTAAGCAATTGCCAAGGACAGGTAAATTGAGTAAGTAAAAATTGTTTTAGATGTTTCAATTTAAAAGCTCTCAGATAAGAACGGGGTCAGGTGTAAACCATGGCATGATTATTCCATGGAAAGCTGGTACCCTAAAAGTGATCACCACAAAATTTACATCAGGAAGGGGACCAGGTCGTACCTAAATATTGATGAACGCGTGCTATGGATTTTATTGTCTCATCTTCAGCTTCAATTATATTTTTTGGTAAAATCTGAAATTCCTTAGAAATACATTTGATATAGTACATATTAGGGAAGTAAATAACAGCTTTCGTATGTAGTTTAAATAATTCTAAACCCATCTTAATACAGAATAAAAGAAATTTAGGGATGAGCTTAAAACCTTGTTTGTGGCTTGCTCAGTATGACCAAGAGCCTCTACTTCCCTGTAATAGTTCATTTCTTTTTGAATAAGTTTAAGCCTGCATATGCAGAAACTCATAAATGCAACAGATAGGTTTAAGTCAAGTTTTTAAAAAAAAAAGTAAATCACGTCTGCTTTCAGATTTTTGGGAAAGTATTTTCTTCAATGTGCCCCTAACCGTACCATGCCTCCAACTGCATCTCTACTTGCTACATTTCTTTTCCTGATAGAAGCTTTTTTCCTATTCACCCGTGTTTCGTTGTTATGTAGACATTTTGTACAAAGCAATTAATCCCAAGTCAGTTCTGCATTGGGAATCCTCTGCCAGGTACAAGTTTTTTAAGAAAAGAATGAACAGACCTGAAAAGCTCAGCACCATTATTTGTGCATTCAGAAATTCAGCTCTATTAGGTATTTCTTGTGACAATGGGAAATTTATAATCTAAGCTTTGAAACTGAGATTTTAACAACTGTTTTGGTCTTCAAATGTATGAACTATGTTTGCCGAAGTTGTGATATGTTATTTCTTGAGTTTGTCTTTTTTTTTTTTACTACAAAGAATGTACGTTTCAGTTCTGAAGAAGTGAAAGGAAAAGTCCACTTTTCCTTAAAGTAAAATGAAAGGAGTTGGGTTTGGTTTTCTAGCAGAGAAAAGCAAAATAAGTCTAGCCAGATGACTTTTATCCTAGACATCCATTGTCCTTTTTTGCATGTGACTGCATACTTGCCTTAATGTTATATTTTTAAAGTTACTACTGAAATGGCCTGTTTCAAGAGTAATTGTATTGTACAAACAGGTATTTCGGGCTGAATGATAGATACACATTTAAAATGAGAGTGGGGAGAAAAAAGATAAATGTGAACATTAGTCAAAAGAAAGCAAAACACCACAAATTTCCTGTGCAGAGTTTTATTCAGGTAGGTGAATAGACTAACTACGCCTGTTCCATTTTTACAGCGTAATGGTAGAAACGATGTATAACTGCTAGACAAATTGCAGTCTCCATATAGAATAGCGATTGAAAGATTTCAAATACTGTATTTCCTTTAGATTTGGGGGATTCCCTAGGGCTCCTGCATAGTTGCTTTCATCTCTCGTGATACACCTTGCAATTTCTTTTACAGTATGTCATCAAAAAGTTAAACCTTAAAAATGCTTCCAACCGAGAGAGGAAAGCAGCAGAACAAGAGGCGCAGCTGCTATCTCAGTTGAGACACCCAAACATAGTCACCTACAGAGAGTCCTGGCAGGGGGAAGATGGCCTATTATATATTGTTATGGGCTTCTGCGAGGGTGGAGATCTGTATCACAAACTTAAAGAGCAGAAGGGCAAACTTTTGCCTGAGAATCAGGTGGTGGAGTGGTTTGTCCAGATTGCCATGGCACTGCAGGTAAGATAAAGTATAGCTTTGTCACCTTCAGATATGAATTTAGTTTGGCTCTTTCTGCATTTAAAAATTTCACAGTTAGGCTGCAGACTTTTGAGTTCCAGTTTGGCTGGTTTAGCATCCAAGTACAATGGTTATTAGTACATTAAAAATGTTGACAGGTTATTGTGGTCAAATTAACTATTTTAGGTAAGAAATTGCTATCATATGTCTACACCTCTGTATCCCAGTAGGCAGTGGTAACCTCCAGGGTGTTTGCAATTCTAGTCCGAAATGCTTCTCCCGTTGGAAAATTTAGGTTAAATTTACAAAGTGTAGTTAAAAAAAAAAAAAGGAAGATTATTTCAGAAGCATTTTGTGTTCTGTGGTTTTGCTGTGTTTTTTAGTGGTAAATTTAAACTCCTAATTAATAATTTTTATTAAATCTTATCTCTGTTGAAATTTAGTAATCAGAGTTTATAAAACTTTAAAGGCAATTGTTGTAGTAATAAAGGCTAGAAATAAATGTTAACACTAAAAGATAAGAAATTGGACAGAAAATTCTATCTTAAAGTTGCCTGTTATGATCAGACATACATAAATCTACAGTACTGCCTGTTCTTGTTTATTATAAGAAAAATTTTCTTCCCTGTTTACACAAAGCTCACATTGTATTTTCCTCTGAAATTTCATACTTAAGACTAAGAAACTACGCCTGTTCCATTTTTACAGCGTAATGGTAGAAACGATGTATAACTGCTAGACAAATTGCAGTCTCCATATAGAATAGCGATTGAAAGATTTCAAATACTGTATTTCCTTTAGATTTGGGGGATTCCCTAGGGCTCCTGCATAGTTGCTTTCATCTCTCGTGATACACCTTGCAATTTCTTTTACAGTATGTCATCAAAAAGTTAAACCTTAAAAATGCTTCCAACCGAGAGAGGAAAGCAGCAGAACAAGAGGCGCAGCTGCTATCTCAGTTGAGACACCCAAACATAGTCACCTACAGAGAGTCCTGGCAGGGGGAAGATGGCCTATTATATATTGTTATGGGCTTCTGCGAGGGTGGAGATCTGTATCACAAACTTAAAGAGCAGAAGGGCAAACTTTTGCCTGAGAATCAGGTGGTGGAGTGGTTTGTCCAGATTGCCATGGCACTGCAGGTAAGATAAAGTATAGCTTTGTCACCTTCAGATATGAATTTAGTTTGGCTCTTTCTGCATTTAAAAATTTCACAGTTAGGCTGCAGACTTTTGAGTTCCAGTTTGGCTGGTTTAGCATCCAAGTACAATGGTTATTAGTACATTAAAAATGTTGACAGGTTATTGTGGTCAAATTAACTATTTTAGGTAAGAAATTGCTATCATATGTCTACACCTCTGTATCCCAGTAGGCAGTGGTAACCTCCAGGGTGTTTGCAATTCTAGTCCGAAATGCTTCTCCCGTTGGAAAATTTAGGTTAAATTTACAAAGTGTAGTTAAAAAAAAAAAAAGGAAGATTATTTCAGAAGCATTTTGTGTTCTGTGGTTTTGCTGTGTTTTTTAGTGGTAAATTTAAACTCCTAATTAATAATTTTTATTAAATCTTATCTCTGTTGAAATTTAGTAATCAGAGTTTATAAAACTTTAAAGGCAATTGTTGTAGTAATAAAGGCTAGAAATAAATGTTAACACTAAAAGATAAGAAATTGGACAGAAAATTCTATCTTAAAGTTGCCTGTTATGATCAGACATACATAAATCTACAGTACTGCCTGTTCTTGTTTATTATAAGAAAAATTTTCTTCCCTGTTTACACAAAGCTCACATTGTATTTTCCTCTGAAATTTCATACTTAAAACTAAGAAATGATTGTCAAGACATGGAGGCAGCAGGAACTGAGTTAAAGTCTGAATCTTAGCTTTACAGTTTTATTTCTTCTTTTCTGCTGGCTTGTCAGAGCCACACAAGATTTCGCTAAAGCAGTGCCAAGTTTTGGGCCCATGCCAGTATCAGTCATTCTTAATCTGAATTCACTAATACTGTATTTAACAGGGGCTATCCTGACTTCGATAGTGATGTATGTGTCTTCAGCATTTGCATTTTCTCTCTTTGACTTGTGTAATGGGATTTTACTTTTCAGTGTAGAAGAACAAATTCGTAGTTACTTAACTCTATTTATGTGTTTTTTCCCCCACCAGTATTTACATGAAAAGCACATTCTTCACAGAGATCTTAAAACTCAAAATGTTTTTCTGACACGAACAAATATAATCAAAGTGGGTGACCTGGGAATAGCCAGAGTGCTGGAAAACCAATACGACATGGCCAGCACTCTCATAGGCACACCATACTACATGAGCCCTGAACTCTTTTCTAACAAACCCTACAACTACAAGGTAGAGTATGTTAATGCAAATGTTGTTTCTACTTCATTAGGTAACTTACTTTGTTTAGCTGCGAAATTTACAATCTTACCTATTGTTATTAATTTTGTATTGCTTCCAACTCTTTTTAATGTCCCCAAAGACCAAACAAAAAAATAGGGGAGAGATTTCTAGGGACCTTTGTTTCTGGAACTGTGTTTGTTGCAGTAGGTG